TATCTAAAATAATCAGCTTTCAATGTAATCCTAAACCAAATACCCCCATCTCAAGTAGCAATCAACCAGCCACTCAATCAGCTAGGCTATAATTCTCTCCCGCCACGGAGTGGGTAGGAAAGGGAAAAACACCGCAGCAAAACGAAGAGTTCACTTCCAAAAAAAAAATACATGCACACACACACACGTGTTTTCATACTCTTTGGTTCTTTCGGTAAAGTCACGTAGTTAGAAATAAAATAAAACAAATCACGACGTTTCGATCGCAACACAAGCGGTCGTCCTCAGGCAAATGATGACGATCGCATACCAGGCGAGGTAGTGCACATCTCCTAGCCACCGTGATGATGATGAGAGAGAGAGACACACAAACTCCAAATATACAGCAGGCGTCAGGGTCGGGATGGAACCCACGACCTCCTGTATACCAGGCGAGGTAGTGCACATCTCCTAGCCACCGTGATGATGATGAGAGAGAGAGACACACAAACTCCAAATATACAGCAGGCGTCAGGGTCGGGATCGAACTCACGACCTCCTGCACACCAGGCGAGGTAGTTAACATCTCCTAGCCACCGTGATGATGATGAGAGAGAGACACACACAACCTCCAAATATACAGCAGGTGTCAGGGTCGGGATGGAACCCACGACCTCCTGTATACCAGGCGAGGTAGTTAACATCTCCTAGCCACCGTGATGATGATGAGAGAGAGACACACACAACCTCCAAATATACAGCAGGTGTCAGGGTCGGGATGGAACCCACGACCTCCTGTATACCAGGCGAGGTAGTGAACATCTCCTAGCCACCGTGATGATGATGAGAGAGAGAGACACACAAACTCCAAATATACAGCAGGCGTCAGGGTCGGGATGGAACCCACGACCTCCTGTATACCAGGCGAGGTAGTTAACATCTCCTAGCCACCGTGATGATGATGAGAGAGAGAGACACACAAACTCCAAATATACAGCAGGCATCAGGGTCGGGATCTAACACACGACCTCCTGCACACCAGGCGAGGTAGTTAACATCTCCTAGCCACCGTGATGATGATGATGAGAGAGAGACACACACAAACTCCAGATATACAGCAGGCGTCAGGGTCGGGATCGAACCCATGACCTCCTGCACACCAGGCGAGGCAGTTAATAATCTCGGCGACCAAACTGAGATTGGGCCAAACATCCCCGAGGCTGAAATATTCCCGTAGATTCAAAATGACTCAATTGGGAATTACGCGCGGAAATCAACGTCCGACCCGCTGTGAAAACCCGGCAAGTCTCTCCCGCAGACGAGTCACGAGACTCAGCGATGCTTTCCTGCGTAAACAACCGTCGTAATACTAATAATTACAACACCAATGGAGACTAGGCTCTAAGAAAAGCTGTCTCGGGTGTGGATCAATCAACTTCAAGGGCAGTGCATATCATTATCATCATCAGAGTTGTTTCTTTTTGTTTGCATTTTGACTGCTTGTTTTGTGGTTATTGCAAACATGATGCCTTGTATAAAGGTGTCAGTTTTTGTACCAGTTGAAAAGGTAAAAACCTACTGCTATAATTACAACGGTATAAACTTCGCGCGCAGGCTTTCACGACCGATGTAACGACTCGCAATTGTGTTTTCTTTCGGGGGTTAGGTGGTGGGGGGGGGGGTGCTCTTAACTCGAGCCCTCCACCACCCGACAGAGTCGCTTAAAACTGAGTCGTCACCCTGTGGGCAAACTAAAAATAAAACCGCCGATCGATTTTTCTTTTTTTTTGCCGGCGGCAATCCGAACGGAGCGTTGAATGGGCGAGCGAAAGCTCTACAAAGTATTGTGCACCCTCATTAGGTTGGTTATACTTTACGGCTCAGTTGTGTCGGGACGGTTCTCCGTGATCTTTGAACTCCCGGATTTGCGAGCTGCGAGTCGGGGCTGCAGTTTGGTTGAAATAAAAGCAATGAAGCAAAGCAAACCTTAAACTATCTTGCAACGACGCTTCCGCTGCAGATGACGGCCCCAGCGTTGTCAGGCAGCGGGCGCGAGGCCGCAGGTTCAGATCTCTCGCGTGAGCGTGAATAACGACGATGATTGTAAACAAAACAAATCATTTGCCGCGATCGGGTCTTAAAAGCTGGCTCGTGGGTTGTTTTATTTTACCGGTTCTCTGTTCGGCTCCGCGCTCGTTGGCTCGTTTAACGAGCGAGCGGTGTGAGAGAGCGAGCGCGTCGCCCGCTTCGTTACCTTTGTTGAGCGGAGCGAATACGTGAGTCGCATTGTGCGCGAGCGAGAATCAATAGCTGGACGTTCTGCGAAAAAAGTGCTTCATAGCTCATTCGGTCTAAAACACATTCCTGCGGAGGGAGCTGGTAGGAACGTTGGGTTGCTCGGTCAATGGGCAGGGTCAACGGCGGCGTGGTGTATTCCGCAAAATATGGCCGACTGTGAGGGCGGGCACAAGCCGGCGTGAGTAGGTTAAACGTTGAGTTTTATAAGGGCACCACGGGGTGACCAGCCCCCCCCCACCCAGCCCCTCCCCACCCTCCCCACCCAGCCCCTCCCCACCCTCCCCTCCCCACCCAGCCCCACCCAGCCCCACCCTCGCCACCCAGCCCCTGCCCAGTCGTTGGGACAACTCGGAGGCGCGA